AATCCGTTCTAATAACCTAAATTTGTCATTCTAGTGCTCCAGCCCATTATTTCACTTACTGAAATATATTAAAATTTATCATTTTTATAGATGATTTTGGTGAATAATTTGTTTGTAAAAAAATACAAAATACAACCTAATAAATTTCTCTGGCTTGTTTAAAATGCTCTCTTGTCTAGTGGGAGGAGATTGGTCTTTCAGGCACTTGTTTTAAAACAGGAATTTTGAATTGTTCACTTTCCCTCTTGCTCAGATAGGCTTAGGTTCCTGTGCCCGTGAGCTCATGATCTGTGGATTTGAAGGAAGCCTTTCCCAGTAGAGAGAGAGAGCATAATGTTAAGGATTAGGGGGGGAAGACATACAAAATGGTTATTAAATTAAACTCTTTTTTTTCCATTTTAGCAATCTTTATCACTTTATCTCATAATTTTACATATAATATGTATAGTAACCAGAGGACAGAAATATTAAGGAAAAGGATAAACTTAAGGTGGAAATTATCTGTCTAAGACATCCAAGGCAATGTGAGAGATTAGTACTAAGGCCTAATTTTTCCATGATTTGTAATACTCACCTCTTGATTTTTTGTGTAAACTTAGTTATACCATGTATTTTATTAAATTTATATTTGAATCTGGCTTAGTGTGTTCTTTGATTTAAAGGCTATCAGTAGAGGAACGTTGAAATGAAAGAGAAGTTTTTCCAATCCAAATTTTTTGGTGTGTATGCCTTTAGCCAAAAATTTCCAATTTCCACTTGCTCATAAGTTGTGATATTAACTAACAGATGCATGCAATTTAAACAGAAGACTGGACCTACTTCTCAAACTGGCAGTCGCATGCAACTGTGTGCTAGAAGCCATAGAATACATGGGACATATTCCTGGAACGCAACCTTACTTAAAAATTTAAGAAAGTTATTTACTTTCAGACAAGCACAGATGAAGCAGACTGCAAAGTCTGCATTAATTGTTAGGAGGAATCACACAAGATTTTAGTGATACAGGCTGTTTGGGGCTCCCCTCCTTTACATACTGTCCTCCTCTTGCCCCAGCTCCTCTTCTCTCATTAGGATAAGTCACTGGAAAAGTTTTAGAACATCTTAAAAGACACTGCATGAGTATTAATAGGATGAATATGTTCATTTAAACTTAATATGATTATTTTAATAGAAATAGGAATCAGAAGTTTGTAAAAAAGGCCTAAAGCCCTCAGATTGTAGAAATTCACTTTTGAAAATCCAGATACCATATAAAGTATATCAAGCCCCAAGGGAAGTTTGGTCAAGATACTATATTTCAAAAGAGGATTTTTAGCCATTGAGAAATATGACTCCCATGAGGGTCAGAGAAGATGTATTGTTCTGCATTCTAGAATTTAGGATATTATGATTCTGGAGTTTCTGATTTTCCAGCGGCACTTAGTTTATTTAGGCTGAGCTGCTGTCCAGTGGAAATGGCGGCAGCTCTTTGTTGAATGTTTCGCCTGTGCCAGGCGTTGTGCACAGTGCTGTCCACTCACAGACTCACCGTGCCTTGTAAGGAATGTATTGTCTCTTTGTACAAATGAGAAAACCAAGACTCAGAGACAATAAGTGACTTGCCTAGGACCTTACAGTCAGCCAGCTTCCGAACCAGCCTTCCGTCCCAGGTCTTTCTGACTTTAGGGTAGTGTTTTTATCGTCTGCTGCCCCAGTATAGCCAACCAATTTGTTATGGTGGGAGAATTTTTATCTTGTTAGTCACTTTCATCTAAGGCTCTGTAAAGAATGAACCAAAAGTATCTAAATTTCAGTCTTCTGACCTAAAACATAATATAGCCCAGATTATTGAAGGAGCTCTCAAATTAAGCTTTCTAAATAGTTTAGATTTAACTTTGAAAAAAGGAAAGGGAAAAAAATTATATTTTGGGAATTCAAATGTAGTTCTGGTTTTCAAAAGAAGGAAGATATGATAACTGTTGAGTACTACTCATGGTGATGTGCCATCTCTGAGCAAGCTTTTTAGAGATGAGGACACTGCACTCACTGGGAACCTGCATAGATTCACTAACAAGCCAGATTTGCTTCTTGGACAGGCTCACTAGACTATTAGACCCATGAAATTCAAGACAAAACAACTAACACTGAGCATGCCACTTTGCAAGGTCATCTCTCAATATCTTACAGACAGAGCAAGATAAATAGAATTTAGATTCTAGAATACATTGCTGGATCAATAACTGGTTGAACAACTGTACCCAATAGGTGATTGATGTCTAGCTGAGGGTGTATTTCTGTAGTGTTTGACATGGCTCAGTCCTCTACCTTGTAATAATTTTTATCAAATGTCTATATAAAAGTCCTGATTATCCAAAATTTTTGTAGCAGGGAGAGAGAATGCATATCTAATGAACCCATAGCCAGAATAATAATATAAAATCATCTTAACAGGCTTCAATAGGCAGAAATGTGGAGGACTATTCTCAGGTTTAAAAACTGAAAAACAAGTGTAAATTGAGAGTGATATGATTTGAGAGTTTAAATTCATTAGATTTTATTATTAGACATTGTTACCTTTACACATAAGAAATATAGCTGTGTGAACCAAAATAAATGAATGGATTCACTTCCACTACTTATCAGTAATTCTGTGGAATATTAAAGCTTTTTTGTTGTTGTTAGTGCCATCAGGTCGATTCTGATTCCTAGTGACCCTGTGTGCAGCAGAATGGAACCCTGCCTGGTCTATTTGTGCCGTCTTCTCACCTTCCAGTTCAATATCAGACAATGCTCCGCTGCTATTCAAAGGGTTTTCATGGCCAATTTTTTCATTAGTGGGTGGCCAGGTCCTTCTTCCTAGTCTTAATCTGAAAGTTCCACTGAAACCTGTCCACCATGGGTGACCCTGCTGGTACTTGAAATACCAGTGATATAGCTTTCAGCATCACAGCAACGTGCAGCCACCACAGTATGACAACCGCCTGACAGACAGGGGGTCTGGTTGCCTGCCCAGGAAATGAACCCAGACTGTGGCAGTGAGAGCCCCAAATCTTAACCTACTAGACCATCTGGGCTGGCTATGAAAGCTTTTACCAATATTTGCATAATACTCATTCAGAGTGATACACCTCACAGATAAATTGCACCTGTATGGAATGCTTTTAACCAAATTATATTAGGTACATGTTACGAATTATGAAATACAACTAAATGAACTCATCAGAGAGTCTTATATTATGATGCTTTTGCCTAACTCCAGCCTAGTAATTCTCTCTCCTAAGTTTTCCTAATCTCTGTTTTGCAGGACATGTTTTGAAAAATTTTGTTAACTAAACGGTTACTTAGCTTTAATTGTTAGAGCCTTATGCCTTTTTAGACAGATCCTGTGGGAATTAAATGAAAATATCTCTCCTCCCCCCCCCCACGCCCCGGAATTGTGTTCTCCCACTAAAATGTAGGCTCCATGAGTTTGAGGACCTTGTTAGTCTTCATTGCCACGTTCCAAGAACCAAGTGTCTGGCACATAGCAGTTGCTTAATAAATGCTTGTTAAAGGGAATAATATCTCAGATGGTTTTGGTGAAGCACACCTACCAGATATTGACTCCATACATTACAGCTTGCTCTTAGCCCCTATGACTATCGGTGAATGGTTTGACGTTAGGCAAAAGTGAACAATTGCTGAGTAGGCCCAATGAACATGAAAACTAGCTAACTAAAGCTTGAAGTGTACCTTACATCTATTATAGGTTAGCTGTGGTAAATTACCAAGTAACAGAATGCAGAACAGATCCATTTAGTAGTCAGATGTTGTAAAATAATAAAAGTGTTGGCAATAATTACTAACTATATGCCATAATTATGTGACCATTAATAAAGAGATGGTGCATTATCACGTAAGGTGGTAGAGGAGTCAGGAGAGCAGAGCGTGGACCAGGAATCGGAGTACTCAAGTTCAAATCCTGATTCAACCATTTATTAGTTATCTGACTTTTAAAAAGTCACAGTAACCACTATAAATCTCAGTTTCTCAATTTGTAAAATGGACATAAAAATTATTTCCAGAGTTGGTTTGAGGATTAAAAGACAGAGTCCATGTAAAGAGATTAGCGTAGGGACCGGCCCGGTGGCGCAGTGGTTAAGTTCGCACGTTCCGCTTCTCGGCGGCCCAGGGTTTTCTGGTTCAGATCCTGGGTGCAAACATGGCACTGCTTGGCAAGCCATGCTGTGGCAGGCGTCCCACATATAAAGTAGAGGAAGATGGGCACGGATGTTAGCTCAGGGCCAGGTTTCCTCAGCAAAAGAAGAGGAGGATTGGCAGTAGTTAGCTCAGGGCTAATCTTCCTCAAAAAAAAAAAAAAAGAGATTAGCATAGGATCTGGCACATTTTAAGTAATAATAAAAGCAAACTATTATAAATGTAAATAAGAACTGTTTCAGCAGGGTACACCATGCATTATGGTTATCATCTCCTTTATGCAAAGATGACATTTCTTCTCAGAGAGATGTGACCATCCCAGGCCACAGGCAGAAAGTTGGGAGCCAGCACTAGAACCCAAGTCCCCCAGCTTCAACTCCTATTTGCATTCTAGCTGTGCTACTTTCACATGATGTGAGAAGAATGCCAGAATAATGTTGAACCACAAGCCAAAGAATAGAGGGTCTGGCAGACAAATGAATAAAATAAAAGAAGGACACAGAATTGGAAAATAATATGTCCTGGCCCTTTCGCCTGTGCACAAATAGAGAATACTGAGTGTTGTCGCTGCTGTTGAATAGAGGGAGGAAGTAACTTTATTTTATAAATATTTTTAGAATTGTGATTTTGATTCAAAATTATTTTATCTATTTGTGTATATTTTGATACTGTTAAAAGACTTTTCCCTCTTGTGCATAAATCTCTCTGGACAAGCATATAAGATTGAAGAAAATTTAAATGCTCAGTGCACTTGATCACGATGGTATTTTTCTCAATTGTATACTGTCATTTGTATATGAACTGCCTTTATTTTGTTTCCACAGAAAGCCGAAGTTTCTGTTTTTGAAGTAAATATACGCTTTGTTGGTGGACTACTCTCAGCGTACTATCTGTCTGGAGAAGAGGTGAGATGAAAAGTGACATATAAAATCTGAATTATAAAGTATCTTAAAATTACATTTTTAGAGTAAAATATGCCTTTTGTGGTATCCGTTAAATTGCATAGTTTGATGGGCCTCTAGCATATCATGAATTTCATATAATATGTACTAATTAAATGAGCACACTGGGAAGGTTTGGCAGGACATGTCAGGAAATGTTAAGCAATGCCTTTAAAAAAGCCTTGTTCCATTATGTTATGTATGGTCTGGTTACAATTACAAATTATGTGTGCCGTTGGACAAATTAAAGAGGTTTAGTGTAGTGGCAGGCTTGTGGATGAATCTTTTCTTTAAAAATTATTTTAATGTTAGTATACTGTTGGCTTAATAAAAACTTTTTAAAGTGAAGAAAGCTTGGCAGGTAAGATATAAAAATTACAGTATTTGAGAAATTGGGGGGCTAAGGGAGAAACTCACTTTCACTGAGGACCCAGTGAGAAGCGATGTAGGCCAGTGTCCCTGTGTACAGCGCTGCGGAGCTCTTCCTGGGGGAGGCTCAGTTAATTATCTGCTGCTCAGAACGAAGCAGGAATTTTTAATTGAGCTGCCTTTTATTGATAGATCTAGAAAGGATTTTTGTATCATACTCATAAAGAGTACAGAGGCTATTTTCTTGAAAGGTTTTGGACAACCTTATGAATAACCTAAATGTTCACTAAGAGTTTTTGGAATGGACCTCACCTTTAATGTTGACAGTGTTAAGAGCTCATGTCAAAGAAAAAGAGTCTCCTGTTTCAATTGCATGTCAATCAGGTTTGTGTTAGCCTCAGCATTCTGGCTGGGGGAAGAGTGGATCTTGCCTAGTGTAGTATTTCATGTATTTCTATGCTCCTTCGAAAAGATTTAAGCAGAGCAATAAATGTTTAATGAGAAAAGCTGCTTTAGCATTGTTCCTGTCTCTCAGGTACTTTTCTAGCCATCACAAAACAGCCCACATAATCTTGACATTCTCTCTCTCTCTCTTGATTTTATTTTACTATAGAGATATCGAAGTATATAGATGGCTTCTATATTCACCTCTATCTGTCCTGTTTAAGTGTTAAATTCTGTTCTTCATTGTGGACGTTGTCACCTTCTCAGCCAGAGTAGTGAGACCTTCTGGTACATTACACTTCTCTTTCCCCTTTTCCAGTCCCAATCATTTCACTTGTTTGGTTTGGTTTAGGGTGTTCTAAGCATTAAGCCAGGGAATTTATATTTCTAAAAAGTTATGTGTAAAATTAACTGATGTTATTTTAGTTAACAAGTTTCTGCTTTTAGAGTACTTGTCTTAGAGTATCCAAGCCCTGGGTGTTCTCATTGTTTTTGACGTGGCATACTTAGGAAGACCTTGGTTTTAACTTCTTCGTCATGTATGTGGAGGTGAGACCATTTGGACGAAACAAAGATTGCGTCCTTCTATAGCTGGGCTCAAATAGGACAAGCCAGCATACAAAGGAAAAATACGTATTTCTTCTAAATATGCGTTATATTTAATTAGGATACTTTTTAACTCATAACAATGTCTTATATACATATATTTGTTTCTGTATATGTGTATACTTATTATAGACATATATGTTTGTACACTATATGAATATAATACCCTAGATATTACAGTTTGCCTATAGATGATAATCAGTTGCCTAAGACCTTGTAAGGGTATTTTTTTATTCTATACTTAGCTAACTTTAGTAAACAAAGGACTACAAAGAACACTACTATTGAATATAATTATTTGTTTAGTATGTTTGCTTTGTCCTTATCCCTGTGCAAAACATGGTTTTTGTTATATCTAGATTTTCTATATGTTATTTCTATGATAAAAATTATTTAAAGTATTTCCTGTCTTATATATTTTTCTACTTGTATGGAATTTTAGTTCATAAAGATTCACCTTCTCGGCATAATTTTTGCTTAACTATTCCCCAAATGTTGGACAGTTGGGTTATTACCAGTATTGCTGTATTTTGAATAATATAGCTATAGTCAGCCAATAAACATTTGTTCTCTAAAGTGGGGTTGCGAGGTAAGAAGTGATTAGTAGTGCTAGACTACATTAACATCATCTCCTGTTTCTTCCTCCCAGTTACCCCATTGCTGACAAGTGGCTTTCATTTGACCAGTACACTCAGGGGAATTGGCTATCAGGAATGTGATCAAGGAAAATTATTTTACACCAAGTCTCTGCTTGAGCCATTTGTCTCCATATCAAAATGAAAAGTGGAGCATTCATTTAATAGAAAGAACATCAACATGACCAAATGATGAATTGGTTGGTTTCAGATTGTTGATAAAGTTCTATACTACACACTTTTATGTAGATCAAGGTATTTACTAAGATAGTCCAGGAAAATTTATCTTCCTAAATTATCTCATAGAGAGGCTAAGAATCACCATAATTCAACATTCTCATTTCATCGCTGAGGCTCAGAAGTGTTTTGAGAACATCTTACATAAGCTTGGCTCTTAAATTTATATTGTAAAAATCAAAGAGAAAGTATTACTGATTTATGATCCATGCTTCAGCAAAATTACAATTAGAAACACTGAACAATAGTCAAGAATGCCAATGGTACTCTAAACCTGCCAGAAAAACAATAAAACCATGAAATACCCATTGATAAATATTTTGATTACAGGGACATATTCAAAAACTTAAAATTTTCTACTGCAGTTAAAATATTTTGCAGTACCATTACAAAAAAAAAAGTCAAGCCACAAGATTTTCAGAATCTATATAAGAAATGCAAACAGCCGCAAGTATGGCAAACAGATAGGATTGAGATAAGATGAATGCTAACTAGGGATGATCAGTATTAAAAACAAATAAAAGGGATAACATTGCTCTAAGTTCAAGGGAAACCAGAGTCTTCACTGGAGAGAGTAAATAGCAGCAACTAGAATATCATTACCCAAAATATGTTCTACAGATCACTAGTTTCTATAGATATGGCAGGATAAATCTGTATCTGCATACATACTAAAAATAAATTCGTAAAAGGCTACATCCTATATTCTTTCTTAGAAATTCACAGTGCACAGAAAAAGAAACTGATTTAGTTTTATTTATCCCTGTGTTTTCTTCACTTACTTACCTATAACCCCCCCTCTGTTTTTTTATAAACCTGTTTTTCTGTAACCTTTGCTAATACTGAGATATAAGTGTTGTTTCCCAGGACAAATTTTGGGAAACACCACCGTGGAATAAGAGTAACTGAAGCAAAAATGATATTGAAAATTTGCAAATGCAAAACAAGACATTATAAGAGAAGATGATATGTGTAGAAAATAGTATGTATTTATTTTACAACAGAAACCAATAGCTATATTGAGCAGAAAGTGAATTTAATAAGACATAGTAATGCCACAGAATCAGAGAGAAGGCTGAAGAACAAGTTGAACTGATGGTCTCAAGTTGCCACAGAGGATCTCTATGGCCTGAAGATCACCCTGGACATCCTAGAATTAATAAACATACTCTATTTTTTTCTACCCTTATCAAGACACAAAGTCCCAGGAGAAAGAGGTCAGTTGGCAGTTTTGGTTACAAGTGGCCCCTTGGGGATCTTGGGGAATGAAAGAGAGGATATGATAGGCGTCTTCCACAGGGTTTGAGTTCAGTATCTCATGGAGACTGAGTATAGATAATTCCTGAACAGGATATCAAAACCCTATTGAAAAGGTGGGGAGAATAGATGTTTGGGAGCCAAAAAAAAAGATGTAATTCCACTATGGTGACTAAGGATGTCAGAGGAAATAGACAAATCATGTGGAAACTGATAATTTAATGATATACTTGAAAAAACTTTTCCTCATTTGAAAAACTACTTTATTCTGTAAGTTAGGAGAGAACATTTAGAACTACCAAGGTGTTTAATCCTCAAAGGAAACATTTGACTAGTATGTTTTAAGTATGTGAGCTAGAAAAACAAAAAGCCAATTCCTAGAAGCTAAAGAGATTGAGGAACTAGCTTTCAATGAAAAAAGAAAATGAGGATATCTGATCCAAATAAATAGATATAGATATATATGTATATGTTATATATATCTCTAGTGAAGATATATATATATATATAATATTTGTTGGATATATGTAATAGATTGTTTTTTTTGAGGAAGATTAGCCCTGAGCTAACTGCTGCCGATCCTGCTCTTTTTTTTTTTTTTCGAGGAAGATTAGCTCTGAGCTAACCAGTGCCAATCCTCCTCTTTTTTTGCTGAGGAAGACTGGCCCTGAGCTAACATCCATGCCCATCTTCCTCTACTTTATATGTGGGACGCCTACCACAGCATGGCTTTTGCCAAGCGGTGCCATGTCCGCACCTAGGATCCAAACCGGCGAACCCAAGGCTGCCAAGAAGCGGAATATGCAAACTTAACCACTGCGCCACCGGGCCAGCCCATCCTCTTCTTTTTGCTGAGGAAGACTGGCCCTGAGCTAACATTCGTGCCCATCTTCCTCTGCTTTATATGTGGGACGCCTGCCACAGCATGGCTTGCCAAGTGGTGCCACGTGCACACCCTGGATCCAAACCAGCAAACCTCGGGCTGCCAAAGTGGAAGGTGCACACTTAACCACTGCACCACCAGGTCAGCCCCTGTAATAGATTCTTATATTAGATCAGTTTACTCTGCTGAGATAGCCTTCATTTTGAAGACAGCAGAAGTTTTCCCCAGATTAACCTTAAGAAATCCATTGCTTCAGATACCAGTACAAAAGATTGCTGAAGAACTTACTAAAAAAGAGAAGTAGCTAATACCACTCAGTTTAAGAATATCAAGGGGAAGACAGAAAAAGGAGATTGGATTCTAGAGTGGGGAGGAGAGAATTGAGAATGTGAGTTTAGTGGTGGAAAGATCTATTTTTTTTCATAAGAGGATTCACACACTGGGGGGTTTAGAGGGCTAGAGATTAATTTTATAGAGTTTGTTTAGTGATGGATAATCATAAAAGTGTTTAGAAATCCCTTAGAAAATTAGGA